GTGAAAGATATGCCGCAACCTGTGGCTACAGCCCCAATGTAAGAGCCTGTAAAGGCAAAAATGGACAAACGACTGTTCCTTCGAGTTGACAGCAACCACCCGCGGCGGAAATTGTCACCCGCGGATATCTTATTCGCATTTTTGGATCATACCACATGCGTTTCCATTACACGTTACTATGTACACCGAGTTAAATCAGGTCTTGCCATATTCGCAAAAAATTGTCACGGAATGTTGTCGTGATCTAATCGAGCGAACGAAATACACGAAGTTCATTCTGATTTCCTAAATTAATGATAACGCATGAATAACTACAATGCGGAACAAAGCATCTTGAAAGGAAATTTATTTTTATAGGGGCATGACTGAGCGGACCCTAAGGCCAGCATTATACATGGGTCGCCCACAGCGAACGGCAGGAGTTTGTGCGCTAGATCCTGTACCAAAAATGATGAATAAAGACAAGGCCTCTAGCTGCCTCCTCGAAATTGGCAAGTGTCAACGCGAAAATCGAGCCTTCTTTGAGCCTCATCGCCTTCTGGATAGCCAATGTACCAGTGAAGGTCCAAACACTGAAGGGCGCTGAAACGGTCGACACAGAGTGGGTCTCTGATGTGATCGCTAGAGTGACCTTAGATGAGCCGTTACAAACACGACCACACGGGACATGCCGCCCCGGTTCATCAACTCGCAGCTGGCAGTGTCTTTTTCCTCGGGAGTTTGCATCTCCTGCGGGCTTCCGCCTTTTCAACGAGTCTAGAATAGCTTTAAAGCTCCAGCCTTACTAGAACTACGGCTCAAAAATGCACTCCGCCGTGGAGTGCAAAGCTAATACCAAGTGTCGAAATTGTGGTGGTCCTCACCGTTCAGATAGTCGAGACTGCTTGGCCCGAGCGACCCGATAACCAAGGAGTGTCACGGTTTCAGTACAAAATGCATGAGCAATCTTGCAAGTACAGTATGTTAATTATAATTCTCTAGAGAGAGAATTTCTGTAGCTAGACTACAAATGTATATACTCTCTGAGATACTCCTCTTCTATAAGGTTCTCACTATGACCAGAATAACATGGACTCCTCGACAATACCCGAGAAGATTCTTGATACACCTGTTGTCCTCATGAACCTTCAGTGTGCTTCCAGAAGGTTCACTGAGAATCTTCTAATCTCCTTATATTCCGAGATCCTTCCCAAAGATTCCCTTGCTTTCATTGCCTGTGCTAGCCAGCGCAGGCTACAGGAGCCCTAGGCTTAACAGCCATTTCAAGGAGAAATTGGTTTTCATTCGACAGGCCAGCCAACGAGAGTTTGCTGCAATAGCCCGAGCGAAGGCTGCTGGAATGAAAGCCGAGGCAGGTTGACTTCCTGCCTCGAAAGAGACGATGATGTCGGGGGGCTAGGCTTTGAGGCCTTGGATCCCGCGGTACAGGCGTGAGGTGCGAAGAGCGCTTGGAATAAGCCAGTAGTGACTTCAATAAATCTTGAAGAGGCACTGACAATTGTAGAAGAAACCCGACAACTCATCTCCAGCTCTCAGCAGAGATTGAGCAATTTTTTCATTTGGGAGATGTGAGGAACGAGGGAATGTATGAGGAATACATTGCCAGGGACTTACTTGAGAGAATCTTCAGTTTTTTTATTCTTTTTGCGATTTGTCTTGGTTTTCATTTCTAACCAACAACTATTTCTGTAGTGGCTCAAGGGGTAGAAACAAGTTGGGCGTGTCACAGACATGATCTTAACTGGGAACACTGGTCTTTGACCCTAATGGGATAGCGGGTATTACCCAGGACCTAAAAATAAAAACAAACATTTGTAATTTACAACTCTAAGCCTCTACTTGCATAACATTATTTCCCCCTTCAATCTAAGTAATCTATTTCCTCATCATATATCCTAATTTAAATCCCTGAATATATATTTTCTAATTGTACTACTTGGGTTATAGACTATCTAGCACATTGGGCCCCTCTCTGACCCAGGCCATATCTTTTACGGTGCTCCTTACCTCTATTGTTTCTTGAAAGATCATTGGTATATTGATCTTGATGAGTAGTCATTCAACTCAGTGTTTACCCGTGGGATTTGGCCAACTTTTCCATGAGATCTTCTATCCCCCATAAAAAAAAGATAACAATAGAGACAGTGTGCGCGGGAAAAAGTCTCAAAAAACCTGCAGCCCCAGCCAGGCGAGGCCTAGACACCGGGACCACATGAGGTGCGCATATTCATCTATGTCTCCCTTCTTTGTAACAGTCGAGGCCGACTTGATCCAATCCACCATCTCCGTATCGGGTGCTGTTTACGCTCCGGAAACTAATCGGATGGCTTTTCCTCCGTGATCAAGGGTTGGTGATGAGTAGGGCTCCGACCCTAGCATCTGATCTGATCGTGGTTAGCTTCATGATAGTGGTGATATGTGGTTATGTTGAGAGATGAAGACGATACAGACCGCGAAAGCGATTGTGAATCCTCATCGAAGTGAGGACTTTGTTACTCAATCTCGGCTCTGCAGACTCTACCGTGAGGGCTAGAGGTTCGTAGGGGATACCACTGACAGCTGTTGAGAATAGCCCCCCTCCCTGAATATGTTGACATGCACTTGGATGTATCCCAATATCTAAGCAATACTTCCTTGCCCCTTTTTGTTCGAAATAAGGTCGGATGTGTTCTTAGCCCCTAGCCTTGAAATCATTTATTCCTCTAGACTCTGAACGTTAGAGAGTGTGACAACGAGTGCTGCATATTCTGTCTTTCTTTCCCAGAAGAATTGCAAATATTATCTTGAACCTTTTTTATCGTATGCAGACAGACCCTAGTATTTCCCACATCAAGTCTTGCCTGAAAGAATCCAGATTATGTTTCCTTGCCATGCCCTTGAAAGACAGGTGACCTGCGAAGCTCTGGATGGGGAATGCTGATTTTTGAAGCCTTTCGGTATTTCAAGCGACAATTACGACTGTGGCGTGGCAATCTCTCCGGAAGAATAGCGTAGGACTAGATGTGAATAGTGATTGGGTATATGTGTTGCATGAATAGAGCATGGGAGACATCATCTATCTGATCACGATTAGATCAGATAATTACCACTATCGTCCTTTCTGAATCTTAGACTTACATGACATGCAGTTTAGTCATATGGAATCAATCGCCAAGCCACCGCTTTGGTTCCCAGCAAGTAGAAGCTGAGTCAAAAATCGTGGCTACAAAATAGCCAAACCAGATTGCTGCAATTCCACCTGCCACTTAGACTTCCAAGATCAATTGCCATCTATAAACTGATTCATCTGAGAACGATTCGACCGTCTGGCCGATGTCGAATGACACTACCAGAACATGATCCTCGCCTGTTAGTCGGAGTTGAGCGGATCAGACGATCGTATGGTCGATCAGGGACTGGCCAGGAGGACTCGGATATATATTAGCCGGGATCAAGGTCTTGGTACCGATTGAAGGATTAAACGATCAACTCTACAATCGTATCGGTCGCTCACCAGAGCTCATACTGCGCATTCTCTTGAGGATCCCAAAAACAAGAATTCGCTAGGTTGATCCACCACTCACAATTGTGGAGGAAGGTTGGTCGGGATGGCCGGCCAGCCCAACAGGGATGGACCAGGCGATTATTTTTTGATAAAAAACCATGGGAAAATCCAACTTCACTTATGCTAAAATTTACCACTGGTATTAAGTTGAATAAAATTGTACTCGAGGCCCTACTCAGTCCATTATTATGAGTGGCTTTTACAGTTCTAATCACAAGTTGTAAACTTTTTGATACTTGATCATGAGGCTGAGGGCTTTAGCTTTGTTAATGAGGTGTAACAACTACAAATCCACTAGATTGCTAATTTAATTGTTCATTTAAACAAATATGGAGCATCAAAGTTAGCGCCACTTGCCAAAATACACCCTACCGAGCGATCCATGTACCAAAGATCCTCAAAAGCTCACGTCAGCGCTGTCAACTGAGGAAATCCTCGACTTTCGACCCATGCTAGCCGCGACAGAGATGAGCGGTTGGACGAACTTGTCATTATCGTCTGAGCGATTTCATGCCAAAACTACCATATTACTCACAGATAACCTTATTTACTCTCATCTCTTCGCCACATGTCTATCGTCCCTGTGCCATTCTGCTCTCTAATTAACTGTATATCTGTTCTGCATAATTTTGCTTCCCTACGCAAGAATCGTGCCTTTTCTTAGACCCTTCGATCGACAGGACCTAAGGATACCGTAATCTATTATGATCGCCTCAGTTCCATACCCAATTCATAGCATCTTGACGCAAAATTCTCCACATCCGTCACGTCAGCTCTGTAAACCAACCAAATTTTAAGCGATTCACCTGAGATCCCCCTTTCGTTGCCAATCGACATAACCGAGTTTTGTAGAAACTCCACAGTCTGTTGAGTATGAGTTTCTCCTGCCGCCAACCAAGCGTGCTCGTTGTTTTGCGTAACCATTGTAACATTCAGAACGATAATTATTTCCGATCTGTCCAAAAAGCTATTAGTCCTAAGTGTGACTCTAGTTTTCAAAATATCCAACTAGCTTAAAACAGATCTACAACCTAAGGAGAAAATCTTAATCGCTTCCATAAATCTGTTTCATGTCTGGGCTTTTTCATACCCACATGCCTCCTATATCACAAACGCAGTGTTCCTCGTGTGAGCGCCAGTGAGAAGATAATTTTAGTCCGAGTACAGTGAAGAGTTTGGAAAATAATTTACAATGAAAACTGTAATTCGATGCGAATCACGACAATTCCGTAACCGTTTACGATAAAAGATGCGTTATTCCATTTTAGTGGTGAAAGTGACAGTAATTCATAAAATCGAGCATATGTGCCATAAAAAGGCCGTGTTGCGATTGAAAACCTCTTACGTTAACCAATAAAGATAAGTCGATAATAGCTCCCGCATAACCCCTAACCCACACTGGAAACACCTTTCATCTGAACGCCGCCTATTTAACCCATTTATACTGAGACCAATTTCAGACATTTTCGTACTTCGCCACGGGAAATTGCACCCTCCCCGATAAATTTGCATCCGCACCCGTGTATCCCATGTAAGCTGTCTCTTCTTCCTCTTGTCTAATGTGCTGTGGAACATAACCAGATGGACGTTCTGTGTAGGGGCTGTTACCTACACCACTGTAGTATGGAGTCTCATGCTCGCCAGAATTATGGACGACTACATAATCGTCACTATGGGGTGCAGTGCTAAAAGCCTCCTTGTCTGGATCGATCATGGCGGCATTGTATGGATTTCGAGAAACACCTGGAAGATAACCTTCGCGCTTCCAGTACATGACGCCGTAAAGAGACATTACTGTTGTAAGAACCCAGAAAATCCTGCGGTTTTGAAGAGTCAGCTAGTGTCTAGTAATTTAACCCTCATCTTTGTAAAATCCAAAATAGTCTTAGTTTATCTGGATTGATGAAGCTGCTTAGTTCCCGTTTTTTGTAACGGTCTAGCGTCTATTATGGTGTAGAGTAGAAAGTACGAACCATGTCACAAAGCCGAGGCCTACGATGGCCTTACTGACACCACATGCCCCATAACATCTATTCGTTGAGTTGTATGAGGCTTGCGCAGAGAAGCCTGATATCCAGAGGATTGCAAAGAAAAAGTCGACGGTTGCCAGAGCGTACGGCTGGGCAAACTTCCTAGTGCGAGGAAAGCGTACGATCATGGTGAGATATAAGATTGCTGGTACGGTCAAGAAAACCTTTAATATCAATAGTTAGTTATTTTTTGTCAAAAAAGCTTGTGAACCTCATGTGAGAGACAAACTAGACCAAACTGCCATCCTACTCGGCCGTCAATTAAAGTCGCTCTGCTAAAGACAACTAATTCGAGCACAAAAATGAAAACTAAGCATAATGCCTGGATGCAGTGACAGCCAAGTTTTACCGATTGCAGGTTGTGTGGATCGAATTCGATCAGTGCCATTATTTGTCTGGTTATTTGGATAGAATTGGTTACAGTACTTTAGATGGAGCAAGCAGATAAATATGATAAGTTGTTTGGTTTACTTTGATCCCTGTTACACTTCGGCGTGCTTACAGGATGAGGCTGGCGGGATGGTGGGTTTGAGTCGAGGATGATGATGATGATGGTGATAAGATGGGCTAGAATTGGAGGGACTGACTTTAACTTAGCTCTTGACCCCCCAAATTCCTAGCGTAGACTATGACGGGAGATTCCATGACTGGCTGAACATCGTCTAGCCAAAAATAGACGAGGGAAATTTGGACTATTTCATGCATCTTGGAGCCAGCCAATCTTTTGCGCCTACGTAAGATCTAAGGCAACAATCTTGTTAGAAGCGACTGACCCCATGGATCTATCAAGAAAATATTACTTATATCCACCAGGCAAAGCTTCATTCCGCAGACGCCTTTATTCATAAAGCAAACTGTCCGGAAATGAAGCGCAACCATTTAATTATCATGTGTACTCGAGATTTACCCCTACCCCTCCTAGACTGATTACCACGGCCGGCTATCTACAAGAACCACACGTCGATTTGTTTCATTTCATAAGCAATACTGGCAACGGAAAATCTCATGTCCGAAGCTGCTGCAGCGAAGCCCACGAGAATACCGGTTTGGGCGCTTATAATGATGCCTACGCGCTTAGTCATATTTCCTCAAGTTTTACTTGCCAGGATCATTCGTCTAGCCTCTTGACATCATATTTGTGGGCATGTTCCGACTGCCCGTCTTACGCGTTCGCCCTGTCTTTGATTTAAAGTGCTTATCTCGTCACGAACCATACTCATTTCAAGCATAATAACTATTGAAGCCAATTGAAATTTATGTTGCCCAGCATTGTGACCTGTCTAGGATCGAAGAGGGGTGGGGTGTAGTTAGCTTTATTCATCAAACGCTTTACGTCCTAGGCTTAAATGTTCATTTTGATTTTTATTTGCGTTAACTTCGAGTCAGCAAGTTGCAAGTGATGTAGAGGTGCATGTAAACTTGTGTAGTTTTATTCGTCATCCTGACTTGGTACCCTATGGGTCAATTCAGGTGTCTAAGATTATCTAGCATATTGGGCACCAGCCCGATTCAAGATACCTTGTACAGTGCTCTTCTCGTCTTTCGTTACTTGAAAGATCTTTGATATATTTCCCATGTTGGATAGTTATTCGGCTCGGTATTTACCCTCGGAATTCAGCCATTTTTTCCACGTAACTTTCTCCCTAAATGTTGTATAAGTAACATTTATACCAAAATATAAAAAATGGAAGTAGTGGAAACTGCGTGTGCGGGAAAAAGTCTCAAAGAACCTGCGGGCCCAGCCAGGCGAGGCCTAGACACCGGGACCATATGATAAGCATATATTAATTTTTATCTCCCTTCTTTGTGATATTAGAGACCGACTTGATCTAATCCACCATCGTTGTATCAGGTGCAGGGTACGCTCCACAAACTCATCGAATGGCTTCTGCTCGATGATTCAGAGTATATAATGAGTAAGACTTCCTCCCTATCATCTGATTTTATCGTGGTTAGCTTCATGATAGCGGTGGTATGGGGGTGTGTTGGGAGATGAAGACGACACAGACGGCGAAAACGGTTGGGGAATCTCATCGGAGGGAGGACTTTGATACTCAATCTCGGCTCTACAGACTTTACAGTGAGTACTGGAGGTTCATAGGGGATAACATTGATAAGCGTTCAGTCTTCGTCTCCCGCCTGTTAGCAGTAAGGCGATCATTTTAAAATTTCTCAGAATAAGATGCGAGAATCAAGTTCAAAAGTGGGATACGAAAACGGGACACGAGAACGGGGTACAAAAATTACGCACGGTAAACTGTGTCACTGTCGGTGATAATAATTGTGTTCAAGGTGGCTTTCGTTATCCTCTTAAATCGGCAGCTCGCCAAAAATAGAAAATGAGCTATCTCTGGCCAAGAGGCCTTGTCAGGTTTGCCTTATACATAGCTTAATGGTCGAAATGCGTGCCGTTGGCAGGCCGTTAATGATTCTAGTCTGGCCTTTTGGTCATATGGTTTTGTATCTCTCTCACACGGATGAAAAAACAACAACTTCTATCCCTGTACGAAATGTCCCAGAAGAAGTCTCCTATCGAGGAGAGGATGATGGCGCTCGAGGAGGTTGTCAAAAAGAGCCTCGCGGATCCCGCTCGAAAAGCTGCACCAGCAGTGGTTTCGGGCGCGCCGACACCAAGGAGCTACGCGTCGGTCGTGGCTCCGCAAATGACAAAGACAGCGGTTAGAATAAGAATCGATGGCGCACAAAACTTGCAGCCACAAGAGCTGCTCTCAAAGGCACAGCAACATATTGAAGGTGCATTTGCAATTCGACAGATGCGAAGCAACGACACCGAGGTGTTTGTCCAGTCGGCGTCTCAGAGAGACGCGGCGCTTAACATGCGACAACCAACGGATTTTAAAATTTTGCGGCAAACTTTCCTGTTGAGGTTTCCGGAGTCCCACTGCGGACAAGAATTGAGGGTGGCAGAGATGCCAACAACTACGCCATCATCAGGGAGATTGAGACGGCAACGAAGGCACGTATTCCAGGCCTGGTAATTAATAGAATACGATGGCTACATGATGGAAAGGAGCATCAGCGATCGAAGAAAAACGGTCGCAATCGTGGTTCAATTGTGGTCAGCCTCCCATCGGAGGCAATGCAAACGGAGGTAGTTCGACAGGGCCTTGTTATTAACGCCATGCTCTTCACCGCGCAGGTATGGTCGCCACGGGCTCAACCAAAGCAGTGTTACAACTGCAGCCAATGGGGACACTCAGGCGTCGTGTGGAAAGGCAGCCAGGTGCGGTGAGTGCGCTGGCGCTCACCAAACTCGGGACTGTCCGAGGAAAAGGGTTTCTTGTGCCAACTGCGGCAAGGAACATCGTTCATGGCAGAAAGCAGCGTGTCGGACCTACCAGGTTTATAAGGGTAGTGTGGAGAAGGCTCGGATGGAGCTGTTATCGAGAACGGCAGATATTTGGAATGAAAAACCAACAATGGCGCCAACACAAACAGTCAGACCAACTGATGATCAGGGATTTACTTTGGTCACCAGTAAAAAGGCTGAAGGACTCAAACGAGGGCCAGGACGACCGCGTAAGGTAGTCGAAGCCCCAGTGGCACCGCCATCGGGACCTACTCTTCGAACACTTTGAAGACCAACGCCGAATGAGGAGGTGCCTTCTCTTTTCAATTTCTCATAACGTTAGTTTGATCGAAGGGGGAGTTAATGAATTTCGAGGAAAGTTTACATAATTGCGGTTGAAAGGAACGTCCTCAGCATAAAGCCGGGTCGGTTCAAAGTGGCAGGACATCGGGTTTTGTTTGTTGAGAGCTTTTTCCCTTACCAAAGCGGCTTACCGTCTTCATGGTTCTGTATATAGATACCGCATAGGACGTTAAACGAGACTAATTCAATTCAATTCATTCTATCCCTGTACACATGTCTTCTTAAAAATTGACCATCAGCGGTATCTTCGGCCGAGTTGTACTAGCTAGAGCCGGAAAATTCGAAATTTCCACCTTCCAATGGTACTGGTGTAATCGCTCAGTATGCTCTGCACATTTGGGATAATTGGGATGAATTGCAACCGAGCCGAAGACGAAAGCAAACATAGGCATATCTATTATAGACGACTTTCGTTATCGGGTCTGTCGTTTTCACGCGATTTCTCTACCTCGGTCCTCCCACCTATTGAAAGGCTATGCTGAGCTGGAATGACGTACCGTTAGGATGAAGGTATGGAAGGAGGTAGCTATGGCTTTAAGAGAAGTAAAGTTCGTGAGTTATACTCTTAGGACTTGGATCAATGGACGAACTTGAGGATATTCCCTAGTATTCTCAAGTGTGTAAATAATATGGAGATTTTTTGAATTTCCTATTGTATGAATTGCTTAATTTATCTACGTGACAGGACCTTCTTCTATTTACATGAATAAGGGGGTTCTGCACACTAGTGGATGTTCCAACATCTGTCCTTGTCTAACCGAGAAAGGAAGGATGTGAGAGATCCTAGTGCCAATAGATACCATTAGGAATCTATTGGGAAATACTATGTCATACCAATGAGTGATGATTTAGGTCAATCATATCCCATGGCGCATGTGCACATTATTCTAATGTGAACAGTTTATTGTAATGCAGTCATGTTACTCCCTTAATTACAACACCACCAACTACCTTTCCTCGTGTCTCGAAGAATCCCAATTTCGCCCCAAGCTTTTACACTCGCTCCATACTAACTATTTAGCCGGAATCAATCACGTACTAGTAGCTCTGTCTGTACCGGTGGTAAATTGTTTCTCCTTTCCAGCATGTAGATCTATTTTTTATTTTATCTGCGGTATAGTTAACAGAAGGCACAGAAGAAGGGTGCTTTTGGTGTATTTCTAGTTTGGGGCACCTGGCATGAAGGCCGTGGCCCGGTTAGTATACGCCAGGATCATAGGAGCGTCGGCACGTCGGGTAGTTTTTCTAGACTGAGCTAACCGGCATGTGGTTTCTGAAAAGATCTACGTTGTCACGGATTGGTCAGATTTGGATGTACGGCACATAGACAAAATGCTAGTGTCTTATGGTCTCACACGATCAGATCGCACAGTCACAAGAGCAGATCTCGCTGGAGCTGAGGGGTAACAGAGTATTGATGTATATAGGCGCATAGATATCCTACATTTAGGGGGAGATAGAATTCACGTATTAGTCTCAAGCTCTACACAATATCCATTGTAGTTAGGAGCCACGAGACACCACGTGATAACATTTCATTCTTACACACACACCCACCATTTACTAAGTACACACCGCGCGCCTAGAAACCTCAGGCATGTGACCTTGGGAAACGCGTTGCGCGCTGGCACGACGTATAAAAAGAAAAAACCCTCGCCTTATCAACTACTAGACACCCCCTGCTACAAAATTAAGACGCTACTGATACCCGCATG